TGATTATGAAGGGGGATCAACATATCAAATACATCAAAAGATATTATTCTTAAGATCAAAACATATATTTAAAAGGATCATCTGTCTACGGCCATACCACCCTGAACGCGCCCTTTTCTCGTCTAAAAGGATCATCTCACCACTATCTGTTTCTAATGTTCTTATCACATGTTGAACAGAACTTCTTCAATGAAGACAGTTTGAGATAAAATTAGAGGAACTGTTGTGACCTATCTTAAACTCCCAATCATTACCTTCCAGAATAGAAATATTAAATATTAAAGAATATTTTAATAAAGGTAGTTGAGATTTTCAAAACTTGAGTTAAACTTGGTAGCCAAAAAAAGGGGAATGCATCTTAGTTTTTCATTTGCTCTAAAAAAATGATTATAAGATAATAAGTTTATCATAATTTTAGAGAAAAGGTAAAGATGGATTTCCACTGTGAAGTATTAAAAGTATATCATTATTATTACGAGGATTTAAAAGACATCATGTTTTGTGAATCTGAACTTTTCATCCTTGCCTACTTAATAATGTTAAAAAAGAAATTGCTCAACAGTCACTCTACGTAAGCAACACTGTCTTTGAATGCTCAGTGTAAAACTTCAGCTACCTCAGCATATGGGAGTTTAGCTTCCACACTTGATTTTAAATGCATATTAATGTCACATTAAGGGAACTATAAGCTTTAGCCATGCTCTCAAATCTGAGTTTCTCTGATGTAATCGATGTTAGACTGAAGGACTGTATCTTCAATGACACAGTTTGCTCCTTACCTGAAATCCTCTCTTACAGGCGCCCTCAATCTCATGAAAGTCATGCTCTGTGCACAGAGGGCAAGCTTCGGCACTCTCCCACAGGAAGTAAAATGTACATCCATCACAGGTGCCTGCTGGACACTTGCTGAAATAAAAATTTTTTAAAAAGACAGTTTTTGTATCACATTCAATCAAGTCTAATCAACACCTGAGTGTGGACTGCATACTGGGAAGTAATGCGTGGATACCAAGAAAACATACATTTAAAAAAATAATCTATAGGAGAGAAAACGACAATGAGATTCCACTTTGCACCTACTAGGATGGCTAGAATCACAAGGACAGAGAATAACAAGTGTTGCAAGGATGTGGGGAAACTGGGACTTTCACACACTGCAAAGCGGTGAGGGTGCTTGGGAAGAATCGGGCAGTTCTTCAGACAACTAAACAGAAAGTTGCCACATGTTCCAGCAATTCCAATTCTAGGTAAATACCCAAGAGAAATGAAAACATTTTCACAGAAAAACTTGTACATGAATGTCCAAAAACATTTTCACAGAAAAACTTGTACATGATTATTCATAACAGCCAAAATGTGGAAACAACCCAGATGTCCCTCAACATTAAGATGGTGAATGGATAAACAAAATGTGGTATATCCATACAATGAACTATTACTCAGCCACAAAAATGAATACAGTACTAATGCATGCCCCAAATTAGACGAACCTCAAAAACATTATGCTAAGTACAAGAAACCAATAAAAAATTCCATGTGTCATGTGTTGTTATTCATGTCAAAGTCCATCACAGGGAAATTTATAAATGCAAAGTAGGTTAGTAGTTGCTTAGGCTGGGAAGGGGGCTGGGGTTTAGGGAGCTGATTAAGGGTATGATGCTTCATTTTAAGGAAATAAGAAAGATCTAAAATTAACTACAGTGATGTTTGCACATACCTAAATATATAATAACCATTGAATTGTATGCCTTAAATGAGTGAATTGTAATGGTATGTGAATATATCTCTATTAAGCTGTTTTTAAAAAAATTAAAGGAGAGAAAGGCACAGGTAATGACAAAAAATAAATAAAAAGCTCGGGGAAGGTTTCTTGGTGGAAGTTATATCTAAACCAAATCTAGAATATTCTAGAATAGAAGTTAGCCAGAATAGAGGGAAGAAAACAAGGGAATTCATGCCAAAGGGATGAAATGGCAGGTGAAGTGAGAGGAAATTGCAAGCAGGTCATTGTGGCTGGAGTTCCAAGAGCGAGGCAGTGAGTGAGCAGTGGGCAACCAGGCGTGCCCTGGGTGGTAACCAGAGGTTGCAATTTCTTTTTCTTTTCTTTTTTTATTTCAGAGAGGAAAGGAGAGGGAGAGAGAGGCAGAAACATCAATGATGAGAGAGAATCATTGAACAGCTGCCCAGGAGGTTGCGATTTCTGTTTAAGGTGATGTATGTGGACAAGGTGCTTTAGGGGACAGAATGATACACAGGACCGTGGTCCACAAAAGGTGGGAAAAGACATGAAAACAAAATTGTCTAAAGTGAAAAAACACACAAAACCACCATCGGGTCAATCCATAGCTAATGCTTTTTGCAATCTTGGGTTTCCTCGACCTGACGACGACTTCCTTCGAGATGTGGTTACAGTCATCACTCGGAAAAGAAGGATGAAGTTTAGACCGGTGCAAACTTAGACACAGTGCAACCACCAGGCAGGAATTGAATGGAGACTTTTTGAAACTCTGCTCTCTGATGGAGTGGGCCTATTAGTGTCAACTGGCCACTTCCATTTTAGGGGCAGATAAACACAGCATGGCTCAAAAATTAACCTGCCGCTACTGTGTAGAGATTACTGAAGAAAGAAGGTATTTGGGAAAATTCTAGTAGGAATGACTGTTTATGAATTTGTAAAACTAGAGAAATATTGTTCCCTTCATTTGTCTACTACACCCCACTTAAGCTCTTCAGCCTTAACTGGTGCTGAGTACAGGTGTCCTGAAACATTTAAAAGCAAAAAGATAGATACACAGTAATAGGGAGAATAAAAAGAAAAACATCCTTTCAAGTTTTAACTTCAAATGCCAAAACTGTAATTTTCAGTCTACCAAAAAGGTAACATTTCACACTCTTAATTAAATATATCATGCTACCTAGAATATGAACACACAAAAATTCTATATGCCTGAAAATTGACTGCATTTTACCTACCTATCTTTCCAAAGTGTCTGTGTGCTGCAGACTAAGGGAACATGGGCGGAATGTATACTACATGCTTCAGAAACAGAGGCCCGCTATTGTCAGAGCGAAGAACAATGGTGAACAGTGATTCTTTGGGAAAATGGCTTCCCTCTTAATTTCTCGGTGTGTAAAAAGGGATTAATACATATATCCAGACTAATAAAAAATGTTTTTTAAAAGGTAAGTGCAATAGATAAACACTATGTCAATTTTAAACATTCTTCCTAATGCCCACCTTCCAGATCAGTAAAAGCAACTCAAAATTGTTCTTTTGGGAAAAAATGGGTAACCAATTAGAAAAATTCTTCAAGAATACATTGATTATTTTCTTAACAATGACTTGCAATTTTAAAAATAAAGACACTTATGATTATTTAGCAAATATTACCAGCATGCTTTCTTGCTCGAATCTGGCCTCCCCAAATTGTTTTCTATTTTACATTTCCAACACATAGAAGTTTTAAAGGGGGGGGTGGGGGGGGGACTGTTTATCTTCAGAAAATAAAAGAGTAGGCCTGCTAAAGTTTGAGGGGGAAAAAACTCAAATCACAAAGAAAAAGGGAAAATTAATCAAAGTTGCAAAAGGCCCTGGAGAGAAGGCTTGGCTTACAATTCCAACTGAACTTTCATGTGATTGTGTTTTTCATAAGTGACTCAACACCCCTCCTACCATATCATTTTTTGTAATTTGTCAAAAGCAGAATGTCTGCTATACTGCTTTCACAGGGTGGTTATAAAGGATAAAATGAAAGAACAATTTGGAAAAGTCTAAAGCACTTCAAAATATAAAACACTATTAATAATGCACATCACTTTCTAAAGAACTGCAGAGCTACAGGAACAGAAAAAAAAAAATCAAGACATTGAAGTACTTTGTAAGCTGCCATTTGGTGTCAAAATACTACAATGATTCAGTGCATTTCCTTGGTAGATTTCACTTTTTCAAAGAAATTCTTAGGTTAAAAGCAGTTTAATTTAGAATCAATTCTTTAATTCTTTTAACCCAATGAATCATTTAAAGTGTGGAATATTCAAATTCAGTTCTTTGTTATAAATATAAGTTTCACAGTTTGAATCAAGCCTTTCCTGTGAAACAAGGATGTATGAAGCAGTAACAATTTTGATGGTTCTTATACAAAAAATGAAAATAAATTTTAGAAAAGAAAAGGAAGAAGAAGAAGAAGAAGAAGAAGAAGAAGAAGAAGAAGAAGAAGAAGAAGAAAGAAGAAGAAGAAGAAGAAGAAGAAGAAGAAGAAGAAGAAGAAGAAGAAGAAGAAGAAGAAGAAGCCGCCACCCAGCCAGAATGTCTCAGTTGGTTGGGCATTGTCCAGTGCACTGAAAGGTTGCTGGTTCAATTCCAGGTCAGGGCACATACCTGGGTTGCAGGTTTGATCCCTGGTTGGAGCACTTAGGAGTATGAGAGGCAACCAACTGATGTTTCCCTCCCATATCAATGTTTCTCACTCTCTCTCTCTCTCTCCCTCCCTCCCTCCCTCCCACTCCCCTTTGCTCTCTCTAAGTAGGTCCTCGGGTGAGGATTTTAAAAAATGAAGGGGGAAAAAAAGATGCAAGAGAAAAAATATTTTTCTCCTACTAAGAGAAAAACAAAAAGTGAATACTAAGATAAACACTTTATTGCTAAATATGTGAAATACTTTTCCATTTGAAGACCTGAGTTACCACTATCTTCACCTTCTACCCTCACCTTTCTAGAGGTATCACTAATTGTGCTTCTTTTATAACTTTTGGTCCATGCAATCCCCATAGAAACCAGTGAGTAAATGTTGTAGAGACAGGACTAGGGCATGGATCGCTGGAGCATACAAGACTAGAGCTGTACAGGATGAACAGGTGTGCTGTGAATTCTAGGCACAGAGACCATCTTATATTCAAAGGACAACCAGGTGAATCTTGATTTGGTTTTATTGATAAGTGAGGAAGAAATTTCCCTGTTTATTTTGCTTTGGGGATTGCCTTACCAACCAGGATGGCACTGGCAACATGTAAGAATTCAGATGAATCTCTTTTTGGGCACTTATGTCTTAGATTTTAAAGTGGAATATATTTCCTGGGACATAACAGTACTGAGCTATGAGTTATTAGTGTCCTCTTTTAAATGAATCATTGTACTTACAGAAGAATCTCCTTGGTTCATATTATGAATTCATGCAGACAGATCTTGTTTTCTTTGGAACTATGATGACCTAACACTCAGCCTCCCATTAATTGTTTGGATAGTTGGTGAAGCAGTGTCAAATTGTTTTGCCTAAGCTTTGTTCAAAATCCAAAGTTAAACAAATTCATCTACCTTGTCAGTACATTTCTGATCCTTTCTGGAGTTAGTCCCAGAAACTGGGGGGAATGGCCACAGTCTTGTGTGCCTAGAACATTTCTTGTTTGATGTTAGGGCACTAATGTTGCTAAACTTCTTTCAGGTGGTGCTTTGGTGGGTCTCTTAAAATTCCCAGTAGCCAGAAGACTTTGGAGCCAGAAGGCTGACATCCTCTGGGATGGGTGATGCTCTAGTCTTGCCTTGTCATTGGCAGAAACCCATCTTGGCAGGGTCCAGACAATGCTGTTGCATCGTGCTCCAATTTCATCTGCCCTAAGGCTGAAGAGCATAAATCGCTTTTGACTGGGTTTGAATGTAAGACAGTTTGACCCACAGCTCTTATATTCAGGGATAGAAAATTCTACCAGTCTCCTGCAAAAGCCTTCTTTTCTAAAGATTACCCTGGGGTAATAACCAAAAGTCAGCATCTGATCAAGACCTGGACCAACTACATTAACTGACATCCCCTAGTCCTTTTTATCTATAGACTCTATATGTGAAATAAATGCCTGTCAAAGCTTTACAACCTTATTTAAAAATTGATCTTGAAGTGTTATGACTGTTCTGTGAT